AAAATTGTATGTACTTATAATACAAGTACTACTGTTATGAATATATTCGTTTTTAGCGGTAAATATTTATTAACGTTTTGACATAAAGCGCCATGATTCTCTGGGCTGAATACTTCAGATCCGCATTAAGGGGTTTCAATAAATATTAAGCATCAGAAATCAGATTTCATATTACTTACATAAATTTACAAAAGGGTAAAATTTTGAACATTTAAATTAAATAAATAGTAAATAGGCATTATTGCTAACGAAATTTTGTATTTAAAAAGTAGTTTTATAAGAATGTTTTCTAAAGGTAGTTTTTAGCCCTTTTTGGTAGATAAATAAGAGGTAAAGAATCATAGTTGCTAGCTAAATTTTATTTTTATAAGGTATTTTTATAAGGTATTTTTATAAGGTATCTTTATAAAGTATTTTTATAAGGTATTTTTATAAGAATATTAGATGAAATACAGGATGAGCTACTTAAAATTTCAAGGTTCATCTTATTTGCGGTCAAATCGAAAGTGACATTAAATTTTCAGTCTTAAAACAAAGTAATCTAGTATAAGCAAAAAAAAAATACTAAAGTTACAGGAGTTAGGTCCGATTCTACCGTTGTGTTAAACGGAGATTAAAATGACAGTGTTAATGTAAAAATGTCATTTTAAACTTCGTTTAACACAACGGTGAAATCGACCCTTAGTCACGTTAATAAAATGTTACATTACAAACCCCTAAACAACTCGAACATAATTTTCGTTTACTAAAAAAATCCAAAATTTAGCAATATTTATTTATTATACAAGCGAATGCGATTTCAAAGATAACTGGATCAAAAAATCCGAATCTCTAAATTTTGGAGCTAAATGCTCAGATAAAAGCAAGCGACCGATAGGGGTTACAAAAATAATCGATTTATCGATAATTCTGATATTTTTTAATGAAAATCGATTTATCCGCTGTTTTTAATAAATTATTTTCGTTTTTTTTTAAGATAATGTATTAATCGATTTTAAAGGAAATACAAAAAAAGTAGATTTATTCAAAATAATCTATTTATCGTTTAATCGGTTTTTTAATTATTTGATTATTTTCGATTTTTCAAAGATATTATATGAAAATAATCGATTGAATATAATCGGTTATTTTACATAATCGATATTTTGGTTATTTTTTTTAAAATTATCGATTTATTGGATAATCAGCTTTTTAATAATCAATTATTTTCGATAATCGAATAATCAATTTCAAAGGAAATAAGAAAAAAGGATTATTAGAAAATAATAGATAATTCGTTTTATTTTTTGGAAAATCGATTTATCATAGAATCGGCTTCTTAATTAATTGGTTATTTTCGATTAGGCAATTATTTTGGAATTATTGATTATTTTTGGTATTTAAAAGATAATCGAATTAACGATTTTAAAGGAAATACAATAAAAATAGATTATTGATAATAATCGATTGATCGAAAATAATCAATTATTTAAAATAATCGATAATTCTGGTTTTTTTTAAATCGATTTATCAGTTAATCGACTTTTTAATTAATCGATTATTTTTGATTAATCGATTATTTTCGATTTTTCAAAGATTATCGAATAATCTGTTTCCATGGACGAAAAAAAAAATGGTTTATTTGAAAATAATCGATTATTTAAAATAAACGATAATTCTATTTATATTATATTTTGTAAACACTGATTTATCGGTTAATTGGCTTTTTAATTAATCGATTATTTTTGATTTTTCAAAGATAATCAAGTAGTCGATTTTAAAGGAAATGACAAAAAATATATTGTTTGAAAATAATCTATTGATCGAAAATAATCGATTATTTTCAATTATCGATAATTTATTTCGATAATCACTCATCCCTAGCGACCAAATGACTTTTAATAGATTTAAATTTTAAAATGTTATCTGGTTTCAGACATATGCATTTCTAGAGTTTTATGTGACTCATCCTTTATAATAATTAATATTCTTAAAGAAAGAAGCCTTAATATACTTTTTCTGAGGTTACAATACAAAACAGCATTTTCTCATTTTGACTAATTTTTAATAATATGTAATAGCCGTAGAAAAAATATAATGTTCAACTCATAAGGGTAGATTTGCAATATTAGCCTGCGCACATGCTATGAGTAACATGTTTTGCTCTATTAACAATATATTCTATTTCAACATTTTACTGTAATCTCTTGCAGAAAAGTCCGTAGTAAATAAACGCTAACGAAATATACTATAAAAGGTCTTCTCTTTACATAAAATGTCGTGGCATTTGTTTGATATTAAAAAATCACTATAATTTGATTTCATAATACAAAATTCGATTAAACACCTTTTAAATAAACCTAATAGTTCATTAAGATGCTAATAAACAAAGTCCGGTCCCTGTCACAGAGTTCGGGTCGCCGCGTGTCGCCGCCCAGTTCCCCCACTCCGTTAACCCTTCTTTAGAAATTGGCAACATTTGCGCAGGTTTAAAACCGGTGTATGTTATATCTCTGGTCTCTTTTATCTAAGGTAAAAAACAAACATTATATTTAGAAAATTAAGTTTAAAATTATCAAAGTCACCCTATTTTACGTAATCTTCTTACAAGGCCAACTTATCATCAATATAATGCCGCCCGTGTGTAGCAAGAATAACATTAAATTTATTGCGATGGTCTCCAAGATATTCGGATTATCAATAATAGAACACATGTTGGAGAATATTTACCGCTTTATTAGAAACATTTTCAGTTGCTAGAATTAATATGTGACACATTAGCGCATTATTAAGAGCAACATATACATTTTAATCAGTTGCGTTACTGTGATGTCCTAAATATTTCTACAAAATATTATGGAAATAAAGTAATGTTTACTGATTGTTTCATATCAATATCTTAGTCGTTTACCATCTTTATTAAATTTATCTTTCGTTTATAATAAAAACATCTGATATTATATGGCAGGGGTGGCCAACAAGTCAATCGCCAAGCCAATTTTGATCAATCATCGATCGCTCGCAATGTCTGGGATGGAATTCCATGTACCATGGAATTTGAAACGATTGTAGAAGACAAAATGTAAAATTATCAGCCATTTTTATAACCATTTTTTCTTATCTCAACCTATACATTGCAGTTGATACAAAATTAAATTGCGTTTTAAGTTAGCAAAAATCTATTTTGAAAAAGTGTCGGAAAATGGCATGTACGGAATGCTGCTACCAAAAGTTGGGCCTGGAAATTTATTCTCTTCATAAGCCGATGTCCTTTTTTACAGTACATGTCCTTTAAAAATACCTGGTTTATAAAAATATAAGCTCAGCAAAAATACTTAGTCAATTTTTTAAGTAACCCTACCTTTATTCACTTCTTAAAAAGGTGCCTACCCTACCTTAAACTGCAACATAGTGTATAAACATAGTACACGGAAAAAAATGTGACTAGAAAATTTTACTACAATGTTGTTGTAGTAGTAGACTTATAGAAAAATACTTAACAATTTGTAGAAAATTTTACTACAATTTATAGTTAAAAACTATTCATTATTGTAGCAATTGAATTGTCGAATAAAATGCTACAACAGTAGGAAAGAATTCCACAATGTTTAGTATATTTTACTATTGTTTGTAGAAGTAGAAATTTATTACAATTATCGTAATTACTACTACTAACTTCTGAAAAAATTTGTACAAATATTAATAATTATTCTACAAAAAATAGTAATTTTCTCTACAAAAAATAGTAATAATTTACATCCCTTCTTATGAAAAATATTCAATTTTGTTCAAAAATATTCTATAATATTGTAGAAATTCTAAGTCATGTGAACAAAACAGAATTCTGCTATTGGCCAACGTTTTCTGACGTCGATCATAAATGGCCAGACAGCAGTAGCCGTTCGCCATGTTCACATAACAAAGCATGGTACATACACGAGTACCTATAACACATTTTTATATTATAAGCACCGATGCGTTTGAGAAAATTTTAATAATAAATTCTGTTGGTGGTAAGTACATTTATTATTGTTTTTGAATAATTAACCTTTAGATAACTAATTTAAATAACCTTAGTAGATTATTTAAAAAAAAATAGTTGTGACCAACGATCGAATGTTGTGCCCAACGATCGAATTTTGTGCCAAATTCAATGATGTTTATTTTGGCTTAATTGTGACATACCTACTTTCTCATTTTTGTTAGTTATCTGACTTAGTCATTTAATATCCAAATCAGTGTAAAGGTGATAAATATCCCCGTTTTAAGGGTATGAACAGTTCAATTGTTATTAATTTTTATTTTATATTTTTCAGGTGCAGAAAAGCCAACTGAGACTGAGGGTGCTATTATTACTGTTATTTATTACATAATGTAAATAAGACTTTGCATCTTTTATATTAAAACAATAAATTGAATATATTATTAAGGAACATTTTTTTCTAGGTTATAATTATAATAATTATGGAATACTACTACAAGTTTTATTAAAAATTACTACAATTTGTATGAATTTTTACTATTTATTGTGTAAAATTTTCGTATTTATTTTCATAAAACGCAATACATACAATGAATAGCAAAAATTATAACAATTTGTAGAACAATTCTTATGATGCATTTGGATATTTTTACTAAATATTGTAGATAATAACTCTACAATACATTCTCCACAAATATTTGGAAATTTTTACTACAAATTGTCCCTGTCCCTATATGTACTATTTATTGTAGAGAAAAAATCTATAATTGTAGAAATTTCTTCTACAATTTTTTTTCCGTGTATGCATTTTACACCCTCTTCCCCCTTAGACTACACCTATGGCAACAAGTCGATCGCGACACACTTTTAAGATAAAAGTAGATGTTATATACAAAAAAGTTAGCCACCCCTGTAATATGGCATTATTCTTGTTATTTGTAGTTGTACCAAAAGTATAATCCACAATTATTTGCTAGAATTTCTGAGATTTATTTTTATCAAGAATATATATTAAAAAAAACAAAATTATTAAACTTACTCGATAGAAGGAGGATCTGGAAGGGTCTTATCGAATCCAGATTTTCCCAGTAGCCAATAAGTGTCCATTGTACCTTTTCCCTTTATTTCCGTAGGTCCTCTAGATTCAATTTCGTAACCTCCGGCTCTTTCTAACCGAAGTTTCGTTGCTTCTGACATGTGAATACGCCACGCCGATCCTTTCAAATTAAAGTTTATGTTAGTTATAAGATAACATTGTTTTAATAGTATTAGTATTACTTGGAAATTCAGAGAATTAGATCACAAAACATGTCGGCTCTTATTTGTTAGGAATATGCGGTATTAAAACAGGAATAAACAGGACAAATAAAAAGTAGGAAATTTCATTTTCCAAACCTTATACTTTAAGCTGGTAGAAGATTTATTTTAATAGAGTAAAGTTGCCTAATGTGGAATAGGTTCCTAAAGTGGAATACGCTGTTATACGGTGATCTATAGGCGCCATCTACTTACAAGTCAGTGCATCAAACGCCCCACCTAAAATGTTTTCGTACGTGGAAGACTTTGATATGGATAGCGTCAGTGGTTCGACGGGAGCGAAGCAAATATAGTTTCAAGCCCAGTAGACATTTTTGTACCAATAAATAAAAGATGTGTTATCTCCGTTGGTATTAATATTAAAGGTAAGATATTTTGTAGAGTTAAAGTACATAGTTTGTAGTTTTATAATATGCTTAATATTTAATGCAAATAACCATTTTAGTTTCGATTATGATGATATGAAATAAAATAATAAAAGTCTCCTTAAGTGGAATAGGAGAGGTGCCCTAAAGTGGAATATTCCACAATAGGAAACTATAACTAAAATTAAGCATATTTGCATTTGTTCCAGGAAAAATGCCAAAAAAGAACATTAAAGAGCACAAATGGAAGGAAGAAGATATGCAAAATGCAGTAGAAGCAGTACGAACTCATACAATGGGATATTTAAGAGCTGCCAAACACTACAAAGTTCCCCGTGCCACATTATTTAGATATTGTAAAAGCGACAAAAATATTATCGATATCAAGAAGGAAACCTTAGGAAGAAACCCTATTTTATCGAAAGAATTGGAAACCAAGCTGGTGGACTACATTCTTAAGATGGAAAGAAACTTTTTTGGATTGACTAGGAGAGATCTACGTTCTCTTGCATTTCAATTGGCGAGACGTAATAATATTCCGAATAAGTTTTCATTGCTTCAGGAATCTGCAGGAAAAAAATGGCTCAAAGGATTTCTGAAAAGACACAAAGATAAAATTAGCATAAGAAGACCAACAGGAACATCGGTTGTAAGGGCTGCCGGATTTAATAAACAAAGTGTGAACGAGTTCTTTGACTTGCTTGAACACGTCATGGAAGAAAATAATTTTGCTCCTAGGCAGATTTTCAATGTGGATGAATGTGGCATATGTATCGTCCAATCTAAATGCCGTCAAATTTTAGCAACGAAAGGCAGAACGGGGATCTCTAATAACCATTTCCATGTGTATGAGCGCAGATGGAACATTTGTTCCACCAATGATTATATTCCCTCGTAAGAATTGCAATGAACAACTCAAAAAGGGTGCTCCACCTGGAACTTTATTTAAATTTCATCCATCAGGGTGGATACAAATGGATCTATTCACAGCTTGGTTCGAGCACTTTATCGAATATGTTCATCCATCTGAAACCAACCCTATTCTTTTACTTTTAGACGGACACAACACACATACAAGAAACCTTGATGTTATAATAAAAGCTAAAGAAAATTTTGTAACAATTCTTTCCTTGCCGCCACACACCTTCCACAAAATGCAGCCTCTAGATAAAACTGTAATGGGAGCATTAAAAGCATTTTACAATGAGGAAATAAGGATTTTTTTAAGGAATAATCAACGTCCAATATCCCACTTTGATGTTTGCGAACTGTTTGGGCAAGCCTATTTAAAGACGCAATCGGCGGAGCGAGCCGTCAAAGGGTTCGCAACTACAGGAATGTATCCTACTAGGAGAAACATTTTCAGCGAAGTGGACTTTCTAACCGTTGACCAAGAGGTTTGTAATGTTGGTCCAATAGCCAATAATCCCACCCCACAGCCAAGAATGATTGCCGCAGAAGAAGAAAAGGAAAACCGAAATCCAAGTGTAGAAGCTGTTGGTCCAGAAGATATTTCACCAATACCGACCGTAAAGAGAAAAGTAGGCACTAGAGGCCGAAAACCCGGAAAAGCCAAAATAATAACTACTACGCCAAATAAGGAAGACCTAGAGAAATCGGTTCAAATGAAAGACACAAACGCAGCGACTCAAAAAAATGTATTTTCCGAAAATCCATCTTGTAGTTCATCTCAAGAAGGTAGACGTAATACGAAGAAAACACTAACCAAACGTCAAAAGAGAGATGTGTCTTCATCAAGTGCTGAATCTGATGCATCGAGCATTTCCATGCAGAATTCTTCAGATGACGAAGAAGATTTTGCAAAACAGGAAAATAATCCTAACCAAGATGCATATTGCATTTTTTAAGCCGATAAGTTTTCAGATAATAATCAAGGAGAAATTTGGATAATGTGCACGCTATGTAACTGTTGGGCACATGAAGAGTGTGCAGGACCCGAAAAAGAACCCTACGTTTGCGACTTTTGCCGTTAGTTTAATTTTTTTTTTTAATTCTTTGTGCTAATATATTAGTATCTTTATTGTTTAAATAAACTTCTTTCTCAAAAAACAAAGTTTTTTTAATCAACATTTTATAACGAATGCTATTTTTCGCTTGGAACATAGGTATTCCACATTAGGAAACCATTTTTGAAGTACTAAAAAAAGGCTCATTTTATATTCTTATTTTTTTTATGATTTTTTTGGGAGATTTATATTTTTGTGACATGAACTATATATCCCTAATACCCTTACCTATATCTATACAAAATATCTAAAAACAAAATTGAAGTTTATCATTTTTTTTTTTTTTAATTAAAATAAAATGCTATTCCACATTAGGCGACTTTACTCTACATTTAGCAGAAATGTTAAACCCTTGTTTCTTATAGTAAAAATACAATGAAACTGCAGCCTTAATACACAAATGGCTATTTCAGCAGTTTACTTGAGAAATATGTAAAAGTTCTCCATTTCAATTATGTTTTCTGTCCAAAAAACGACGTTTTAATGACACTTTCAAATAAAAACTACGATTAGAATACAGTAAAATCGCATGTTATATTTTTGAGTGTAAACTTCGCGTCATATAAAAGTGGTACAACTCTTATAACAAAAAAGCGTGCTTTTCAAGCTGTGTAAATTGATCTTTTAAATTGTGTCAAAGTTAAACTACTTTTTAGGTTATAATTTCTAGACCAACGTTGCCAGCACTACGAAAATATTAGTAGATGTAATGATACAAATAAGTTTGGTAAAGCAATAAAACGCAATGAAAAAATTAAAAATTTAATGTAATTTAAAATGAATAAGTTTTAAATTTAAATACATTTGACAATTTCAAACAGATGAAATAAATAATTACTATACAATTTGATTGTTGTCCCATTTTTGCAAAGCTGTTAATTGTGATTTTCGCATTTTATCAAACTTACTCAAATGACCCGACATCGTAACAATGCGTTTTGACAAACCTGACAAATCTTACTGTTTGTCATTTTCAAAAGTAAAGTTGGTTTTACAGTGGGAAAAATAAGTGTACCAGTTTTATATGACGCGAAGTGTACCATGTAGTAAAAGAATGTGAATGCAATACACTTTTAGTGAATCAACGTGATCAGACTCTAAAATAAATAAAAACTGAATGAGAAGGTCACACCATAAGAAGACAAATAATTTTATAAATGGATTTGGATTTGGCTCTGACTTTTTGAAACCTTCAAACTTCACTTTTAAATTCTTGTTAGAAACAAGAGCATTGTTTTTAATACTGTTACTCCCGAACTTCTTAATAGTTAAAGAACCTAATTGAATAAAAAAGAGAGCTGGTTTTTGTTTGCAAAGAGCATGAGGAGAGAGCGAAACTTTTTAATTTCGTTTTTGATCACGTTCTGCTTTGAGGGTTTCTTGGTTAATTGAAAAAAAGGGTATACTGAGACTTAGTGCCTTATAAAAACCGACTAATACACAAAATGGTGTGCTATTCTGTAATAGTAATTTACGTAACAAGACCAGAAAGTAATGTTTTGCACGTCGAGACAAGCTTAACACTAATTTTCGATCGCGTGATGTACAATATTTTTTTAAACCCGTCACTTCGATGTAAACTCAATTATTTATTTTATTTGATAAAGTGATTAACAAATACTAAAACTAGATAATGGATTCAACTGCATAAACTTACCAAATACATTATTTGCTAAAAATCAACGAACTGTCATTTGGCAAAAAATCGGAACGTTGTTACCATGTTAACTAAATCAAGGCAGACTGTTTTATCAAACAGCGATCGGAAAAATGAAAAACAGGGATCGGTAATAGATATTTACGATATAAATGCGGTATGAACATTATTAATATATGCATGTATATTAAGTATATTAATAATGTGTTACCGGCACGAATATTGTACAATATTTTATCTACAACTGTCATGTAACAACAACTCCGAAAATTCGAAAATATATTGAATAAAATTATGTCGGCATATCGTTAAAATTGACCATTTGCGAATACAATTAACCTGTCAGTATTTTGTAACCATAGCAACGGAATTAATAATCAACTTCTGTCAAAGTTGCGTTTAAAATCGTAAAAATTCTGACTTAATGTCGCTCAAATAACCATTACAAGTACAAATATTATCAATTATGTCTTCAAGTAAAGATGATCTTCCACAAGATATTGAAAATGCAGCAACCGGCGTAATAGAAAATTTAGTACCACAGAAATCACGTGAGAGATATCATTTAACTTATGACAAATATGAGAAATGGTGTAAAGATAAGAAAATTTTAAATATTACAAATGAAAAAGCATTACTGGTATATTTCAACGAATTGAGTAAATTACAGAAGCCTACATCTCTTTGGTGTTGCTACTCGATGTTGAGGACAGAATTGCTTAGGGGGCGTCCATTAATTACGTGAGGTATTTTTGAGGATTTTTTGACTCCCCCTCCCCCTTTGGCGAGATTTGGTAAGATTTTCCTTAACTCCTTAATAGCAGAAACAGAGGAATTTTAAGGATATTTAAGAGTGTTCAATATTTTAGCTTCAAGTTTTTTACCATCTCATTATGTTATTAACAGTTGCTATTTATTTTGCGTAATAAAACAAAATTTATTCTGAAATAGCCTATTCCTAATAATGAAACAAAATTTATTCTGGGATTGCTTATTCTAGAAAACTTGCGCTGATCATATTTGAGAAATTGTCTATCATTTAAGGATTCAAAGGGATTCCCTGCCTCATTTTTCCACTTAGACCAAAAATCTCTTGGGACATTAATTGCTCTTCTTCTGCCTCTTCTATATTGTTTAATTGAGAAAGTAAAATAGCTTCATTCATTTTAGGAAAGTTATATTAGTAATAATAATATATAAATATTATTATTTGAAGTAACTAGCAAATGTCACCGGTGACAGATTCCCATTGGAAATTTGATTTCCCATGCCAAATACCAGGTGTATTTGCTCCCATACTTTTCGTGAGAAAATATTCCTAGTGGATGTGTCGAGAATACAAAATATAAATTCCCATAGGAAAATTATCTTTTTCCCATGGGAAAAAAAGTCGAGAATTGAGGCCCAGGTGGTCAACTGCGTTTTCGGTTGAATTAAGTTTGTATGACGTCACTAAATTAAACCAGTGCTGATCAACGAAAACTCGCACTTTACGAGTGTGAACTGAGTGTGACCAGTCGAAAACGCTACAAGAAATCTAAGGTATTTTAGAAAGAAGAACTAAATTTATTGTAAATGCAGGAGATGAGAAATTTTTATGCATGAAGGTAATATATAATAGATATTTGTATAAATGTAAATAAATATTAATGTAATATATACTTTAAGGTTGTGCAAATTATTGGTTTGGCTGGTGCATGTCGGAGAGAAGAGTTGACAAATTTATTGATAGAAAATGTAAAATATAAAGGATTGTGCTATCAAATTGTCATTCCAAATACCAAAATAAAAATATCGCGAGAATTTTTTGTTACATCTGGGAAGATTGATGGTATTAATTTAGTTACAATTGTTAGAAAATTCTCTACATTAAGATCTAAAAGTTGTGGCCATCAACGATTTTTTGTTGGATACAGAGCAGGAAAATGTACAACACAACCTATTGGAATAAATACTATTGGTAGTGTTCCAAGATTAATTGCAGAATTTTTTGAATTGCCGAATCCAAAGCAGTATACAGGGCATTCTTTACGGCGTTCTTCAACTTCAATTTTAGCCGACTCTGGTGCAGATCTTCTAAATATTAAAAGACATGGCGGCTGGAAGTCTAATTCTGTCGCTGAAGGATATATTGAGACTTCGGCAGAAAATAAGAAAAAAACAGCTATGAAAATTTTAGGAGAAAACCAAGAAAATATAGCATCGACTTCAAAACATATGGAAACTAATATTTGCAATTATCGGGCATCGGACATGTCTGCATCTGGCATGAATTTGTACTATTGCAAGGATTGTATTATAAATATCTATAACAAATAATTTTTTATATTGAGTTCATTATTAATATTGTATTTGTTCTGTTTTGTTAAATAAATGATTAATTTTGATTAACTATTAGTTCCGCATCATTACCGCACTAGTGCGGTAATATACGTCATTACAAAATTAAAATAAGTGTCAAATCAGCGTCATTACATGACAGTTGTAGATAATAGTTATTTATGTGTCAATCTCGGAAAGTGAGACTTTACAGGGCATGCAAAGTTTCAGGGCGACGCCAAATCATGAGATGAGATTATTTTAATTAAAACATTTACTAGTTTATTCAGGAGTTGAAGCGGAGGCAATGAAAATATTTTTTTGCTACTTATTTAATAAAGATATTTAAAGATATTCATACCTGTCGATTCCATGCGTGAAGCCGTGTTCACGGTATCGCCAAACAAGCAATACCGAGGCATTGTCAGTCCAACAACTCCCGCACAGCATGGCCCTGTGTGGAGTCCTATTCTCAGTCTTAAAGGAGTTTTAGGTAAATGTCGAATACAAAATCTACCACTTTGATGCAGCAAATCCAATGCCATGGTTGCTATCTGGAATAAACATGTTTTATTATTATCAATAAATTCAAATTATAGAAGCGGAACAATAACTCTTAAATATTTGTTTAAAATATATAAAGTATAGTGTGTAATATGTAGCAAAAACACTTTACGAACTTGCTTGATATGCGACATTTACACGAAGGAAAACAAAATTTTCACCATTGTACAAACTACTATTTATGGAATTTTTAAATATTATTTACCGGAAAGTCCTAAATTAAAATGTAACTAATACTAAATAAATACTAAATAATTGTTACAATTGTTTTCTAGTATTATTTTTTAATAATGTTTGAATTGAATTGTAATACATATTTAAATTGGTAATTTAGAAACATCGAATTTGACGCGAAATTGATATCATCTATAGCTCCAGAGTTCAATTTTAACTTGTATTCATATATTTAGATAACTAAAAAATGGAAATTAAGTTAAAAAAACTGCGTATGTAGTTCTTTTACCAGACCTGCGATCTAAAGATGCATCCTCACCGAATCAACACTGTCGGTCGACTCTGTCTATCGACGTTGTCGACTTTGTGAGTACGCGGCAATCGACGGTGTCGATCGACAAAATAAATCTATCGACATGTGGATTTGTTTTCCATCGCCTGTCGGTAAACATGAAAGAGCAGTCTATCGACTTTAGTGTGTGGACGTATTTTTGGCGTTCTATATTTGACAAACTGTTAGTACTGAGTACTAAGTACTCAGTAACGTCTTGCCTTATTGACATTTTAGTTGTGTTTTCGTTGGAGAAATGAAATGGGATTCTAAAAACAAAAACTAAGAGGAGCAGAAACTTGAGGCAAGATCTTTTTTAAATCTTCTATCAAATTACTAGCGTTGTATCTAGTTCTACTTTGAAGACTTGTTGGTCGAACCCAAAATCTTCTTTTGTGTGCAAGTTTCCTTTTTTAGTCGCCATAATAATATATGCGGCACAAGCAACCATAATGTCATCTTCGTCAGACATGTTAATTTCGACTGATCGACAAACATTTCTGTCAAGTCTGGTGTGGACAGATCCAGTTTTGTAGACTTGTTAATCAACAATGTCGATAGATAGAGTCGATCGGCAGTGTTGATTCGATGAGGACGCACCTTAAGATATTAATGTAGGATATGTATTTGAAAACATATTTTTTGTTAAATAATAGTACAGGTGTTTAATTGTAATAAATAGAAATATTTAGCACATTTAAATAACATCGGAATGATACTTTCTTTTTTGTATTTCAATTTATGAAAAGGGCGTAAGCAACACTACACGTTTAAAAAAAAATTAAATAAATATTAGTGTTTAAAAAAATTTAATATAAAATTTAGATTCTATACGTGCAATTGTATACTTTAAAATTAGACACTAACAATAATTTTTTGTACCTCAGGGACTAAAACGTGCATTTTACTCCCTCATTTTAGGGACTGAAGTGCCACATTTACTCCCTTGGGATTAAAATATTTTAGTCCCAAAGGATTAAAAAATGTTAATCTCGCAAATACAAAACCAATAGAAACCATAGCAAACTACTTCATTCGGGAGGTAATACAACAAAACCTTCTTTGTAAGGGGATACATTTATTTTTCCGAAAAAAGTTTTGCTTGAAACTTGCATATATTTTTATTTAATAATATAGTACAATTATTAAAAACAATTTATAAAACGTCAAAATATTAAATTTCAATTTAACATTTAGTGTATAGCTACTTTATTTACGTACAATGTGTTCAAGGACCTGTCAACGAGGATAATAATCATTATGAAATAATATTGAGTGACTCGTATCACATAATTATCGTGTAAATTTATAAAGTTTTAGTCCCTGCAGTACAAAAAATAGCATATGTAGCAGTTAATTCTTTTTGTGGTATCAATGTGGAATACTCTTAGATAAATATCTCAAAAGTGCCACATTTACTCCCTTGGGATTAAAATATTTTAGTCCCAAAGGATTAAAAAATGTTAATCTCGCAAATACAAAACCAATAGAAACCATAGCAAACTACTTCATTCGGGAGGTAATACAACAAAACCTTCTTTGTAAGGGGATACATTTATTTTTCCGAAAAAAGTTTTGCTTGAAACTTGCATATATTTTTATTTAATAATATAGTACAATTATTAAAAACAATTTATAAAACGTCAAAATATTAAATTTCAATTTAACATTTAGTGTATAGCTACTTTATTTACGTACAATGTGTTCAAGGACCTGTCAACGAGGATAATAATCATTATGAAATAATATTGAGTGACTCGTATCACATAATTATCGTGTAAATTTATAAAGTTTTAGTCCCTGCAGTACAAAAAATAGCATATGTAGCAGTTAATTCTTTTTGTGGTATCAATGTGGAATACTCTTAGATAAATATCTCAATTTGGCCAATTTTGTCGCTTACGCCCTTTTATTAAAACACTGTCGAAATGAAAAAAATACGCAATTCAACCGATGAAATATTTAAATATAGGGCGAGACACGAAAAAGGCATATTTTTTCCTGGTTTTTTTCGTTACATATCTTTTGAATCATACTGTATGTGGTTTAAAATCTATACATAGGTATTTTAAAATGATTTAATCTCTAATAATAACACGTGATATAAAATAGGTAAAATTTTGTTAAGAAGAGCATACAGGGTATAATAACTTTTTGACTCTATATAGAATGTAAACTGGGACATTGAATATTTTGAATATTTTAGCAAAGGCTATTTCAGAGTGATGTTACAGTTTTGATTTCCAGAGCCATAAATTAGCCGTATTTTATATATAAATATATCATTTTATACAATTACAGTAGTAGCTATCAGTTTTAATAGTTATATTAATAAATATTGAATAAAAATACTCACTTAGCTTTTTTTAAATAAGTCCAGCAACGAAATCATTACCAACTATTTGTTCGGTATTAAAAATAAATCTCAATATTAAAAATCAGCTAGAAAATACTAAAAACTTCAATGCTTTTACCCCTTTTATTGATTATCAGCACAATACTAGCTTTTATAACAATTACAATATCTTTTTCTGACTTTTATATACCCCATTTTGTTTTATTTACCTTTTTCCAACTGATTCTTCTTCTATAAAATTTTGGTCCATATTCTACCTCCACCTAGCTAGTGAATTATTCATTCCTTGAGTCATCAGCAGGGTTTTACATGTCTTATAGTAAGAAACCAATCTTTGAGGTATAAAGTTTTGGACTTTGAACTTTGATTAAGTCATTTTCGCCCATTTTGGTACTAAGGAACACTTGAAAAGTGCTCTCACGAAATTGTTTCGGATTTTGCTTAGGAACAAAATGTGCATTAGGAAACCTTAGTGTATAAGAAAATCGCTTATAGCGGATACTTTTCCTAGCACAGTATAACCAATATACTAACTTTTGGCCACATTTCATCAATGGTAAGTGTAACTAACTCTGCATGATGACCATTGCCTCTCATAACCTTTCCCTATTTCAGGCCATCTACTTTACTTCTTTTCTACTTAGACCTTGCTTCAACTTCACCTTTAACTTCCCCATCCATCATCATTAACTTCAAGTTACTTTCTACTATCGGCCTGGACAAATTAGCTTGGATTTCCATGCTTGCGGTGCATGCTGTACATCTGCGGTAGGCCCTAACAGAAGTACCCATTGGCCCTTTGGTCACAGAGAAACCCCACTCTGGACAACCACCATAAATATATCAAGTAAGATTAAACCATATTTTACTTTTGAGAGCATCTACCTGCACCCAGTTGCTTCGTCTGCTTGTTACCAGTCGTGCATGAAGCAGTAATTTGTGACTCACCCTGTAGCTAGTAATAATTTACGTCAAGTCTTTTACTGGAAATATTTTTTGATAACGGAAAAGCAATATTTTCGAAAAATATCTGTAATCATCGTAGATTGTTAGGAAGCACGCCCTTTTTAATAAATGGACAATTTTCAATTTCAACGCCCTGTATATCAAAATTATATATAAGATTGAGTTATGCCCATTGTTCAAGATGTCGCTACCAGAAACATATAAAAAATTCCGAAAATTTCTTCTTTGTTAAAGAACTCGGCTTCTTTTACTCTCATTCAGCTAATTTTACTTACAATAGTACATTGTTTGCAACACGAGGCGCAGGCGAATGCTACAAATCATAGTAAAATGTAAAAAGATACATGAAATATTGCAACGGCTGAATTTACCGGTTCTTTTATTGAACACAATGCTACAGAATTTAAAATAGCAAGGTCCATTTCAATATATGTCTGCTAAGAATTGTCTATTGCATAAAAGTTCGGATATCTCTTCTGCTTACAAATAACCCTATAAATACTTTCCATTGGTGTTCTCATCTGAATATCCGCATATAAAACGTTTTTGTCTTTGGAAGTTGTAGAAAGGATATCTAATTTATTCCTATTTTTTTTTATGAAAAGAAAGTTTGATGAAAGTTTAACAATAATGTGATTTAAACAGTTTATTATATTACACTAATTTATTTATACTAATTTTTTTATGTACTAATTTATATTACCAATATTAATGTATCTTAACTTCAACTGACTATAACTGTAAACATGGCCTATTTATAGAAGGCGCGCGACGCTTAACGAGACTTCAAACGATATTAAAAATTTCTTTGGCCCTCAACAGTGGTCTCAAATAAAAAATTAGTTTCATATATACAGGGTGTCCCGAACCAGAATGCCAATACATTGTTAACTTTTTTTAAGTTTAATTGTATTTTTTTTATTTTAAGTTCAACTCTTAAAAGTAATCTTAGTTTAATGTATACGGGAAGAGTGGGCCACAATTGTCAAATCGACAAAATGTTCTTCAGTTTTAATTAGTTGAAACGTGTGATTTTATTATTGGTGAATTGATAGTTGTGATTAATAAAAATGAAGGAGTATTTGAGAGAAGAGAGAATAAATATGATTTTAATACTTGGGAATATTAGAAAAATTGTTTATTGACGTATAGAGTTTATGCAG